GTGGAAAATTCTACAAGAAATACAAAAAAGACCTAGCTGGGGGCGGGGGATTTAGCTCATGGCATAAGCGCCTGTCTTGCAAGCAGGCAGTCGTGAGTTCGATCCCTGGTACTGATAAAAATGAAAAAGACAAAAAAAAAAGAATTAATGCCAACACTCCTCAAACTCTTCATTGAAATGGAAAGGGAAGCAATCCTTCATAAATTGTTCCTAGAAGCAAATATTACTCTAGTACCAAAACCAGAGGAGGACCCAACTGAAAAGAGAACTACAGACCAATCTCCCTAATGAACAAAGATGCAAAAATCCTCAATAAAATATTGGCAAATAGGTTGCATCAAATCAACAAGAAGATCATATACCATGACCAAGTGGGATTCATCCCAGGCATGCAGAGATTGTTTAATATATGTAAATCAATAAATGTAATACACTATATCAATAGAGCCAAAAGTTATAATCACATGATCATTACTATAGATGCAGAAAAAGCTTTTGAGAAGGTCCAACATTCATTTATGATAAGAACCTTGCAGAAAATTGGAATAGATGGTCCTTACCTCAATATAATTAAGGCCGGCAATGACAAAACAACAGCCAGTACCATACTAAATGGTCAAAAATTGAAGGCTTTTACTTTAAAATCAGGCACAAGACAAGGATGTCCCTTATCACAGCTCCTATTTAAATACTACTGGAAATACTGGGCAGAGCAATTAGAAAACAGAGAGAAATAAAATATGTAAAGATAGGAAAAGAAGAATTTAAATTATCATTATTTGCAGATGACATGATACTTTATATAGAAGATCCCCAAAGCTCCATTGAAAGACTCCTAGATATAATAAATAAATTCAGTAATGTAGCTGGATACAGAATCAATACTCAAAAATCAATAGCATTCCTATACCCTAACCCTAACCCTAACCCAAAACTTTTATACAGATGCAATGCAATCCCGATAAAAATAGCATCAACATACTTCATAGAACTTGAGAAATCACCCCTAAAATTCATCTGCAGTGAGAAGAAACCTAGAATAGCAAAGACAGTTAGAGGCAGCAAAAGCAAGGCAGGAGGTACCACAATCCCTGACTTGAAGTTATAATACAAAGCAACTGTAGTAAAATTAACATGGTACTGGAACCAAAATGGAGCCAAAGATCAGTGGAATAGATGAGAAGATACAACCACCACTACAAACACACCCAACTACCTTATCTTTGATAAAGGGGCCAAACATGTTCACTGGAAGAATGACATTCTCATTAAGAAATGGTGGTGAGAAACTGGCTCTCCATATGCCTAAAACTAAAACTAGACCCATGCCTATCACTGTGTACTAAAATAAAATCTAAATGGATCAAAGATCTAAATATTAAAACAGAAACACTAAATCTATTGGAAGACAAATTGGGTAAAAACCTTGAAGACATAGGAGTAGGTAGAGAATTGATGAACAGGACTCAAACCGCATGGGAAATGTTTTTCAGAATCAATAGTTGGGATCACCTCTTAGTTCCTGCACATCAAAATAAATCTCCACTATAGTGAAAAGAAAACCCACAAACTGGGAAAAAATCTTAGTGAACTGCCCCTCAGACAGAGGATTTCTGTCTAAAACATATAAAGAATTTTAAAAAATGAGACCACCAAAATTCAAAGATCAAATCCAAAAATGAGCATCTGAGATGAACAAACAATTTTGAGATGAAGAAATACAAATGAAAAATAAATACATGAAAAAATGTTCACCATCAATGGTCATTAGAGAAATACAAATTAAAACCACACTGAGATTTTGTCTCACTCTTGAAAGAATGGCCAAGATCAAGAAAACCACCAACAACAAATGTTGGAGATGCTGTTGGGACAAAGGAACTCTCCTGCACTGTTGGTGGGAGTGTAGACTGGTACAACCATGGTGGTGGTCAGTCTGGAGATTTCTCAGAAAGCTGGGACTGGAAGCACCTTTTGACTCAGCTATTCTATTTCTAGGCATATTCACAGAACTGAAACCATCATTCCACAGTGATATATGTGCACCCATATTTATAGCAGCACAGTTTGTAATAGCCAGATCTTGGAAACAACCTAAGTGTACATCAACTGAGGAATGGATAAAAAAATTTATGGTGTTTTTATACAATGGAGTACTACTCAGCTATAAAGAATGATCACATTGACATATAAATAAATGGACGCAGACTGAGACCATACTCATAAGTGAAATAAATCAAACTCACATGTATAAATACCAAATATATTCCCTAGTATAAGAAATGATAATACACAGAAGTATGTGGCAATTGTGATACCCAATCATATTGGTTTGAATCCATATAATGTTTTCACTCATTAAGTGTAATGGTTTTACCCTGGGTTTTTCAATTTAATATCGGTGATAGTACAAATAGCTATTCTGAAGAAAATAACACATCATAAAAGCTAGTGCTGATTTAATATCATCTTCTTTGGAATTCCCATCAAGTTGTTGTACATATTTCCACTGGTTTCAACATGTTGTATCTTAATATATTTTACTGTGATAGTATAAATAAAAATTTTTACAGGCAAAGAGATAATATAGAAATTGTTGTTCATTTTCTGTTAACTGATTTTAAATACCCTGTAATTCTTTCATTCTCTTGAATGGCTTCACACTGTCTTGATGTGATTGATTCTATAGTATATGAAGTTATACTCAAATAATTCAAGGAAAGAGGCACTATGGTGACTACTATTATGTTAGATTACCTGGTGGTGGAACAAAATGATGCTTTAATTGTTCAGTTCTGACCTGTGTTGTTCTATTACAATGTCTCTTTTATCTCGATCTCCACACTTTTTAAAAAAAATATTCTATCTTTTTTCAATTAAAATAAAACTAAATTAAAAAATAGCGGGATATATTATAGTAACTTTTTTTGTTTTCCTATTAACCTGATTTTAACCCCCGTATTGCTCTCCCCATCTTGTTCTGCCTGATTTTACTATATTCTATTTTGTTTTAATAGTATCAAGTTTGAGGGTATAGGCAACCACTTTGTAGGCAATAAGATTTACTATGTTGCCCATTATGGTTTGACTGTTATATTCTTTTGAAATTCTGTAAGGTCTCCAGTGTAGATTTTATTGGTCTTGTTCTGTACTGTTTTGATCAATTCTATTATACCTGATGATACAGGGAAATCTTTTTAAAAATAGCTAGAGGCACAGTGGTAACCATTTTTGATCACCTGATATTCTATTTTTGCATCAAGTACTATGCCCATCCTTATGTTCTAACCAACTCTGTTTTGTAAACTCACTTGAGGTTTTATTCTCTTCAAAAAAAGTAATAAGAACTATGGGAGTAAAAAAAAAAACCGAAAAGTGTAATTGTTATTGTGAAGAAGAGAGGAAAGGAAGGTGGTCTAAGGGATATAAGTGCCTGTTTGAGTGTGTAGGAAGGAAAACCATATTACTGACCTTTTGTTGGATCATTGAACAGAACTGTCTGCAGTCTTGCTGTAGGAATGTTCACTTTATATGCTTTAATTTTATAATTTGGACAACTGTTTCTAAGAAGACAATATGTAACCTATTAAGTAGTGATTTCTTACTGTATTTTTTTCTTTATTTTCTGTATTATTTGTACCCTTTTACTGCTTTGGTTTTTTTTATGTTCTTTTTTTCTCCTTAAATAAAAAAAAAATTAAACCTGGAATTTAACTGGGGATCAAACTGATGACCTCACACTTGCCAGGCAGGGGCTTAAGCCACGGAGCTAACTTCCCAGCCCTCCAATATATATCTTTCACATCTTATCATGTTCAGAGTAGTTGCCTCTACTATTGGACTTGATACCAGCAAGCATACCAAATGTGAATAAAATCAGTCAAGGCTAAATAACATTCAAACAAACCAGCTTCAAATAAGATCAGTCATAGTAAGACAATGTAAGTAATACAGGGTTTCAGTTTTATTTAATAGGAAATTAAGGACAGTTACCATCATGGTATCACCTGCTATTTTTGGGTTATCTCTCTGTGCCCTCAAATCTAATATGAGTAGACAGACCAGAACAAAATATAATCAAACTAAACAGAGCAACAGAACTACTGTAGCTTTTAAATCCTGATAAACTTTTAACAATGTCCTCTGCCTTCTTTTTTTAGGCAATTCCTCACATTTGTCCTTCTCAGGATACTATTATTCACTGTTCTGAGTGATATTAGTTTAGTCTATTATGTTCAATTTCAGCATACATAAAAATAAAGACGTCTACTACGAGGAGAATGAGACACATTACGGTAATCATTATCAACTTCCCCAAAATCAGTCTTGAAGATCAAAAAAGCCTGCATCATCCTGTAATTATTTGATTAGTTCTATAATGTTCAGTATATATTCAATGCATGTGAAGATGGGAACAACTATTGTGAAGAAAACTAGAGACAGTAAGATAGAAAATGAACATCTCAGTGGACTTGCTTTGAAATCTGTGTCTCCTTACCTTGTTTCCTTATGAATTGTTCTGTTTTGTCATGTTAATCTTACCGTCTTTAAGATAAAAAACAAGTTTGTAGAACAGATAAGCATACTAATAAGTTTTTTTTTTTTGGATCACTGAGGTGAACTGTTTGCAGTGTAATTATTTGAATATCACTTTGTATGCTTTAATTTTGTAACTTGAACAATTACTTCTAAGATGACAATATGTAACTAATCAACTAGTGATTTCTTACTGTTTATTTTTCAGACCTTCTGTATTATTTCTACACTTTTTTGTTTTTTTCTTTAAATAAAAATAATTCACCAAAAATATAAAAATTAAGGTTGAAAGACAAAATATTAAGTACATAGACACTATCCATACTTGTAAGTGAAAAGCCCATTTCAGTTTACCATGTTTAATTACAAGATGCCATGTTGAAGCACAAAGACACTTTAAAAAATCTAAAGAGGTATAAGTGATTAACTGAAAATCGTACAAAATATGTACTTGAGATTTGTCATTTTGGGAAATTTGTGAAGAAATATTGACATCAAACTTCTGTATTGATTATTTCTTCAGGTCTACTTGGAATTTTTAAAGTAAACAGATCTAAACTGTCTGAAGAGTGCTGCTTTTTCTATGTATTTAACAACAAACATGGATTGCCGTATTTCTCACATTGTTAATACACATAGGATCCAGTGAGCTCTTTCAGATATGTAACAATGATCATGTGTGCTGAGAGTATTCCCATAACACATAGGATTTATCGCTTGTGTGAGCTTCTTCACGTATTTCACTTACAATCTGGCTACTGAAAGTGTCTCCACTTGCTTACATAGCCAGTGGTTCTTCCCAGTGTGAATTCTTTCATGTGTTTTGCAATGACTGTATGTGGTAAAAGCTTTGCCACATTGTTATATACATAGGGTTTCACACCAGAGTGGAGTCATTGATGTATTTTACAATATCCATGTGTGGTGAAAGCTTTCCCACATTCTTCACATACACAGGCTTCTCAACAGTGTAAATTTTATAATGTATTGGACAATGAGCATTTCTGCTGAAACCTTTCCCACATTCCTTACATATATAAGTTTTCTGCCCAGTGTGAAGTTTTTCATGCATTATGCAATATGGACTTGTGCTCAAAAAATTCTCATGATGCTTATATACACTGGTTCTATCTTGAGTGTGAACTTTCATGTTGCTTACAATGTTCTTGTTGGGTAAATCTTTCCAACATTGCTTACATATATATAGTTTCTCCCCAGTGTGAATTCTTTCATGTTGCTTACAATTTTGATGTCGGGTAAAACCTTTCCCACATTCCTTACATACATAGGGTTTCTCTCCAGTGTGAATTCTTTCATCTATTTTACAATTTTCCCATGTGTTAAAAGCTTTCCCACATTGCTTACATACATAGGGTTTCTCTCCAGTGTGAATTCTTTCATGTTGCTTACAATGTCCAGATTTGGTGAAACATTCTCCGCATTGCTGACATACATAGGGTTTCTCTCCATTGCAATATTTTTCATGGATCTGAACATTGTGGTGTGTTTCTGTTTCTTTCACATTCAAATTACCTTCAGCAGTACAAAGGAATACTTCTTTACACTGATTCCAAGATGTATGTCCATAGGATTTCCCTAGCTTGTCATTTCTGTAAAGAAAAATCACATATAGGATTGATAACCATATTACTAAGATTTTATGGCAGAGTTGAACAAAACTGTTTGCAGTCTTGCTGTTTGAATCCCCACTTCATAAGTTTCACTTTTGTATTTCATTAACTATTTCTATGAGCAGCATGTGTAATCACTGTCTTTAGATTTCTTACTGTTTATTTTCACTTTGAAAGTGATATTATTTCTACTTATTTTGGTTTTTTTAGTCTTTCCTTACATTAAATAAAAAAAGCAAAATTCACAGTGAAATGGGTCTCAGTTTAATGACTGCATTAATGTAAAGTTCTGTTTTTAATGCCTGCTAAGAAATTCTGAACATGAAGTAACAGAATGCCCTTGTAAGACATGTTGAAAACAACCATTCCCAAAAGACTGGTACACATTTGGAAATCTTAAAATGTGGTACCTTTTGAAATGCGGAATCTTTATCTTCACTTTGGGCATGGGTACATATGTGTATCACATACAGATCATTCTGATATGTTTCCCCATCACAATCTCCCTTCTGTCTTTAACCTGTAGTTCCCTTTTCCATATGGTCACTCTTACTTTTCTCTATTAACTCTCTTTCACTTCATTCCACAATTTATATTTTGGTTTCTCATCTAAAAGAAACCCTGTGACCTTTTAGGTTTTATAGCTGAGCTATTTCACCGAATTGATGGGAGAAAGACCCACCTATTTCTTATGGCAAATGACATTATATTATTTATTTTTTGAATTATATAACTCATTTTTTTTTCTTTTCCATGCTGGGAATGAACAACAGGTATTAGCATAAAATCTATACCTTTTTAAATCTGTTTTAAGACATTTTCACTGATCATTAAGTTGTGAAGTTTGAACTTGAATTTGCCATTCTGTAAAATCTGATTCCTAGTATGCTGGATTTACAAGAATGCACAATCACAGAGAGTCTATTATCATTTTCCTTCTCCACAAATCCAGTCATAAATAGCTAAGCTTCTTCAAGGCCTGCTCTATTATAACTTGATCTGCTTTGTATATGAGCAAGCTTGTATCAGTATTTTATGCAGATTTTGAATTTTTAAAAATATATCCAGGATAAGTATGAGGGGATCAATTTCTAGAGACAACTGCACACTGATATTTAGAATGAGTGCCCTTAACATTCCACCAGCCTTCTAAGAATTTTAGTCAGAATTGTTGATTCTTTAGAGCATGGCTTGGAAACACAAGCACTCCATTTTATTTCAAATTCTATTGTAATCTTAGCAATTTTTAGATAATGAATGTGTTGTATTCACATGTATATATCGGTAGAAAAACTGAAGAGAGAATGTCATAACTCAAAGTGTGTGCCTTTTGTACACATCTATATGCAATGTCATACATTTTCATGATTTAATTCACTCATTATACATACCCTAGCTTATACATCTTCAGAGAATATTACTGACAATAAATTGAATGGTGCCTCATTTGTTTGGTGGTCATTTTTCTGCTGACTCACTAATTACTCAGGAAAATTACTTCTCCTTATGAGTGCGAATTACCTTAAGTATTTCCAGTAAATTTTGCATTCTTTTTCAGCTTCCTGGATATCCCCAAGTCCTCCTGAATTGTGGACATAGAAATACCAGAGCTCATTAGAATAATACATACAAATTAATAGATTTTGTTTAGAGCTATGATATAATGTGTCGAGGTCTGACTGATTTTTAAAAATATTTTCACATTGTTTTTAATGAAACAGCACTGATGAGCAACAAACAACATTCTGACAGCATGAGTGACAAAAGTATTTTGTCCTTACCTATTGCAGTCATGTTCCTAAACATTTCGCCCATCACATCTCTGTAGAGGTTCTTTTGGGATGGACTCAGCAAAGTCCATTCCTCATTGCTGAAGTTCTCGACCACATCCTCAAAGGTCACCACCTCCTAAAGGATCATACATATATTTCTCACATGAAGGTTGAGACACCAGGTTTGGGATATCTTAAATTCTTTCCTACAAATCTGAATCAAAAGCAAAGTGTGGTGGTATATATCTATAATGCCAGCACTCAAAATGCTGAGGCAGGATGGTTTCAGTGAGTTCAGGGCAATTCTAGGCTCCATAGGGTGTTCAAATCCAGCTGATATACATAGAGAAAGCTTGTCTCAATAAAACAAAACAAAACTAAACAGTAAAACCAAAAAAAAAAAAAAACCAGCTGAATGAAGACTGATTTCATCAAATTTAAATCCAGGTCTTAGTCATTAATTTTGTGAATATACACATTTTTGAAGACAGCAAATTTGATGATAGATTGCAACTCACTGCTAATGTAACGGTGAAATAGGAGCACTGATTCTTTTTTTTTTAACTAAATAATTTTTTAATGAATAAGGCAGAGATTGAGATAAAACAGGACATAACAATATAACAATACAGGTCAAAGCATGACTGTTTCAGCAACCTAGTGCTTCACCACCAAATAACCCGACTTAATAGTAGTTATCATAGTGTCTGTCTTTTTCCGTGAAATATTTGAATAAAACTTCATATACTATAGCTTCAAATATTTCCATATCAAGAAGCCCAGAATAAAGCCTTTCCAATTAATAAGTGAAAACTTTATAAGGCTTTAAGGCCACATAATGGGGAATCATGATTACCACATATTTTTATATATTTGAATCATTACTTACATTAGGGAAACTATTCGGTATTCACACATGCGAGATTGATTTATTTCACTTATGAGTATGGTCTCAAGCAGCGCCCATTTATTGATAAATATCTCAATGTGATCCTTCTTTATAGCTGAATAATACTCCATTGCATAGAAATACCACCACTTTTTTATCCATTCCTCAGTTGATGGACAGTTGGGTTGTTTCCAAGATCTGGCGATTACAAATTGTGCTGCCATAAACATAGGTGCACATATATCACTGTAGTATGATGCTTTCAGTTCTTCTGGAAATATGCCTAGAAGTGGAATAGCTGGAATAAATGGGACTTCCAATCCCAGCTTTTTGAGAAATCTCCAGACTGACCTCCACAAAGGCTGCACCAGTCTACACTCCCACCAACAGTGTAGGATAGTTCCTTTTTCCCCACATCCTCTCCAGCATTTGTTGTTGTTGGTTTTCTTGATCCTGGCCATTCTTTCAGGAGTGAGATGGTATCTCAGTGTGGTTTTAATTTGCATTTCTCTAATGACCAATGATGATGAACATTTTTTCATGTATTTACTTGCCATTTGCATTTCTTCACCTGAGAAGTGCGTATTCATCTCAGATGCCCATTTTTGGATTGGATCTTTGAATTTTTGGGGTCTGAGTTTTTTAAATTCTTTATATGTTTTAGAAAAGACTCCCTTGTCTGAGAGAGAGTTCACTAAAATCTTTTCCCAGTTTGTGGGTTTTCTTTTTACCATGCTGGAGATTTCTTTTGAAATGCAGAAACTTTTTAATAAGAAGTAGTCCCAGCTATTGATTTTGGGAAGTATTTCCCATGCGGTTTGAGTCCTGTTCATGAATTCTCTGCCTACTTCTATGTCTTCAAGGTTTCTACCCAATTTGTCTTCCAATAGATTTAGTGTTTCTGTTTTAATATTCAGATCTTTGTCCCATTTAGATTTTAATTTAGTACATGGTGATAGACATGGGTCTAGCTTTAGTTTTTGGCAAAAGGAGAGCCAGTTTTTCCAGCACCACTTATTAAAGAGACTGTCATTCTTCCAGTGAACCTGCTTGGCTCCTTTATCAAAGATAAGGTGGTTGAGTGTGTTTGTAGTTGTGGTTGTATCTTCTAATCTATTCCATTGATCTTCGGCTCTGTTTTGATTCCAATGCCATGTTGATTATACTACTGTTGCTTTGTAGTATAACTTCAAGTCAGGGATTGTGATGCTTCCTGCTCTTTGCTGATTAGAATTGCCTTTGCTATTCTAGGTCTCTTCTGATTCCAGATGAAATTTAGGAGTGATTTCTCTAGATCTACAAGGTATGTTGATGGTATTTTTATTGGGATTGCATTGAATCTGTATAACCGTTTTGGGAGAATGGCCATTTTCACAATGTTTGTTCTTCCTATCCACGAGCAAGGGATGTCTTTCCATTTTCTGAGATCATCCTCAATTTTTTTTTCAGTGTATTATAATTTTCACTGTATAAATCTTTCACTTCTTTTGTAAGAGTAATTCCTAAATATTTCAATTTTTTGATTCCTAATGTGAAGAGTGTAGTTTCTCTTATTTCCCTCTCTGTGATTTTGTTGTTCGTGTATAGGAATGCTACTGGTTTCTGAGTATTGATTTTGTATCCAGCCACATTACTGAATTCATTTATTGTATGTAAGAGTCTTTCAATGGAGTTTAGGGGGTCTTCTAGGTAGAGTATCATGTCATCTGCTTGTGCTGAGTCACTGCAATATTCCCTGTGTACTTTCTCTAAAGCAGAGCTCACAGTGAGAAGCCTGTCAGACCAGCATCCACAAAGCACAGAAGCAGATAAATATCCCATCAATCTAATGGGAAGCCAAACAAGCACCTCCCTTCCCTGGTAAGTGGTGATGATGTGGCAGACTGTGGCCTATCCAGGGGGCAAACCAGCAGCAGCTCCTGAGATCCACGCCATGCTGGAATTTAGGACACTTGGAAGGCAAGCAAGCACCACTTCTCCATGATAAGCATTGATGATGTGGCAGACTGTGGCCTATCCAGGGGGAGAACCAGCAGCTGCTCCTGAGATCCACGCCATGTGGGAACTTAGGACGCTGTGAAACCAAACAACCAGCCTGTCTCCCTACTAAGCAATAGTGAACCTACTGATGCATGGCCTAGAATCAAACACTCTACTTCCCTTCCCCTCTTCTGTCACCCTGACTTTAGCAAATGGGAACCAGAAATCTGAGTGTCTCCTGGGAAGCAGACCATAACAAATACAGGGGACTTCCTTCTACTATCTCTTCGAAGGCAAATATTTTTATTACTGTTTTGCTCTATTCTGATTAATTGTATTGCTCTATTCAATATTCTGTTTTGATAAGTACTATAATGTTCTGTATTTCATCTCATTTTGATATATGTGTTTGAAAGAACAACTATTATAAAGATAATACAATATACTGTGAGACCTATTACTATTATCCCAGTAACCTGTTGTGAAGTTGTGTACCAATTTCACTATATGATCTTAGTTGGCCTTATTCTGCCTTGTTCTGTTGTATTTTATCACTTTCAAAATTTAAAAAAAGAAAAGAAAAATCTCATCAATCACTTTGATAGGCTACAGATAATGTCTCTTCAAATCTCATTTAGGCCAGTGAGTACTTTGTTCTTAATATACTTCGCAGCATTTTGAAACATGAATTTCGTTTCATAGAACAAAACATAAATAACATTCAATATGGTACACAAATAATACCTCAAATGTTAGTGGAAAATGCTGTTTTTAAAAAATAGGTATATAAAATGGAACCAGGCCCAAGCTGTAATTTATAGCTCACTGTCACCAAGCGATCACTTTCAATTCAGATATAAGGAATATATCTTGGGAGGCTGGTGAAGTAGTTCTTCCTTGAATTTGGGGTTATCCTAAGTTACAGAGCTGCCTAAAATAGAGAAACCCTGACTGAGACACCCCACAGACAAAGTGAAACTTGAAGAGAGAATGCACAAGACACCTTTGGTTTGTTTTTAAAAATTATAGCCATACAATATGGAAAAATTCCAACAATATTCAACACTTTCTGAGAAACAATGTGGATCTCTTCCATCCAACAAAGAAAATACTTTCATATTTGGGTATTTAGCTCAGTGGTATGAATGCCTGCCTGGAAAGCATAGGTCATGAGTTTGATCCTTGGTACAAAAAGAATCCAAATTTAACTGCATGACACTGGGGCATAATTAGAGATAATCCAAATTAGATCTTAAGTATGGAACCAAAATTCATGGGTTGACAGGGATGTGAAATACTGATTATTGCCAGAGCTGGTGTTGATCACCTCAATGAAACAATCAGAACCCAACTTTAACTTCACTCTTACCCTAAGAACTACCTGAATTTCAGTGAAGACCCTCTCTGTTGTATGTCCTGCTATAGGCTTCCTGAATCCTGTCAGGCACTTGCACATCCTTTCCACACTCCTCTGTTCCATCCTCAGCAGGAAACCCTTCATGCCTAACTATTGATATCACTGCAAAATTTCTGTTTAGAGCTTCTCCTTTACACCACTTAATAAAGTCCATTGCAGAGCATTTCCATATTTAAACTGTCCATGAACAACCAAGCCACTAAATCAGCTCTTAATTCAGAGATGACGCACCCATTCCTTTCCATTCAGAAGGATATCACGTGTATATGTCCTTGCAAATGCCTAAATTTCAGCATTTTTCGATGAGAATTTAACAGATAGCCCTTTCTGTAATTTGTCCTTCACAAAATTTTACCCTGTCCTTGATAACACTTTCATATTTGCTTTATTTTTCTCAGACTTTAAAACTTTATGGCTGTTCTCACAAACCTAGTCTGTGAGCAAGGGTGCCACCTAAATAATTAAAAATGTTTAGAAATTATTTTGCACTGATCTGTATAATACACAGGAGTTCACGAGTTGTTTGGGAAGCCTTTTTTCACTGAGGCACACTACTACACAACTCTGAATTCTCAGGACCTTTGCCACTACCTGTCATGAGGATGGAAATATGAGAACATACTATAAATTGAGGAGATCACTATAAATACAAAAAAGCCCAAGTTTAAGTTGAGCCATTGTGGCTATGAGGCCCTGCATTACAGAAATTAAGAAACTTTGGACATTCCAGATCTGCTACTCTGAGGAAAGAGAGCAGAGACCTAGCTCATTACTGCTCTTCAAGCTACAAAAAACATCATAGCAGGGTCTTCCCAAGCTCCTTCCAATGCCTAAGATGGTAGAGTTACCAGGCCAGCAGTGAATTTCAAAGATGATACTTGAGTCTGTTGCTGTCATAGTAAAGCCAGGGTTCTGGTGACCCCAAATCACCCTTGTCAACAGCAAGAGGCAAAAGGGACAAGGAATGACCCATGGGCAATGCTGGAGGACCTCAGGAGCTGAAGCTAACTAAATACCTGAGGCTCCAGACACCACAACTACTCCTAAATACTTGTAACTGGTTTCTCCAACCCACCCTATCTCTGGGCTCCCATCCACAACCTCACCATTC